TTATTAGTTGGTGTCCAGCTGACATAACTAATTTCTTGAATAATGTCAAGGTGGATTTCATATGACAATTTTTGGTATGCAGAGATCTGTAGCATCAACAAGTAGAAGAACTGCAATTCGTTTTGCAGATCTTAAACTCAAAAGATACTGGTTACCTCTTATGGTATGCACCTTTTCTTGAGAGATCTCATTTTCCGTGCTTATGTTGTACCCATGATTTTGAAAATGATTTTCAACTAGTCGTCATTTTATTTTCTTTATCTCTTTTACCCTGCAGATTGGTATTGGGTTACTTGTCTTTCAACAACTAAGTGGAATTAATGGTGTTATCTTCTATTCCACGACTATTTTTGAATCTGCTGGTATGTGGTGATAACCTGCTGTTTCTGAAGCAGGCAATAGAACAATGTATTTTCTTCAATGAATTTATTTGTACATACACTTACAATTTCTTGAATTCATGATTCATGCTCGTTGATGTGCTATGAAATCTACACCAATGAAAATTTATAGAAACATCACCAACAAATGACAGAACTCTATTGTGCTTTTTTCTAGAATTATTAAGTTGCCTACTGCTTTCTTTTGTTCCTTTCACAACGTACATCTATTGGTTGTTACTCCCTCTCTCAGGGGTAAAATGAGCTCGTTTCCTTTTTGGGATGTCTCTAATAATGTCCACTTTCTTAAAATAGACATCTTACAAAAATTCCCTTAGTGGAAGTACATGATGTTATGAATAACAATTATCTCCCATAATTTTTGAGGGAAAAAGGAACAATTTACTCAAATACTAACTCTAAGTGAACCCATTCAATTCCAGAGGAAGGAGTGCTATTTTATAATTTAAGTTAAATGGCTTTTATTTAGTTGTATTGATTGAACAGGTATCTCATCGAGCAATGCTGCGACTGTTGGTGTCGGTGCTATTCAGGTATAGTTAGGAAACTCATGAGCATTTCATTTTTGAAAACTCTGGTTAAGCTTTTGTTTACTTATCAATATTTTGTACATTGCTTAGGTTATTGCCACTGCAATTTCTACATGGTTGGTAGACAAAACTGGGCGTAGACTTCTACTAATAGTGAGTTAAAGCATTGTAGGCATTTTTTCAGTCAATGAATTATCAGTTTGCCTTACGAGAATGGAAATGCCCATTGCAGGTTTCCTCTTCTGGGATGGTTCTTAGTCTCCTACTTGTTGCCATTTCATTCTTTTCAAAGGTAATTTGCTATAAAATTTCTTTTCATTCAGAGAAAAGGGAATTGATTTGATCATGCACATCTTGTATGGTTTCATGCTTATTGTTCTGATACATAAAGTAACATTTCGTTCCTTCTGTTTGAAATTTTTCAAGGGCTTCGTGTCAGAGGATTCTACTGCCTATGGTATATTGGGAATCCTATCAGTAATTGGGGTTGTGGTATGTTTTTTTACAAATATACAGGCACTATAAAATTGTTCAGTTTCCATTCAACAAGTTTCTTACTTCTTCCAACCAACATTTTCTATTGTAGTGCATGGTCATTGCCTTTTCTCTTGGAATGGGACCCATTCCATGGCTTATAATGTCCGAGGTACTATTCTATCTCCCCTCGTTTTCAATCACGCAAAATGTTTGGTGTACGCTGCTATTTTTCTGTGTAATAGTAGTACACTTCAGTACTAACATATGAATTTTGTTTGCTCTTCTTAAACGTGCCTAAATTTTGGCCAAACCAAAGCTCTTCAGAGTTGGTTCTTTTATTTGCCTGTTGACTAAATTTTTGTCCTTAATAACTTTTCTTGTCCACATAAATGTAGTATTCCCCGAAAAACATAACAAAATAAGAAAAAAAGAACCTGAAACAGAAGCAGACCTAAATAGAATTTCATCAGCTACATATCAAGTGACCATATTTCCTCTGATATTGCAGATTCTTCCTATTAAAATCAAAGGCCTTGCTGGAAGTGTGGCAACTTTGGCCAACTGGTTATTGTCCTGGGTTATCACAATGACTGCCCCTTTGCTATTAGATTGGAGCAGCGGAGGTTTGCTTACACCGTCTCTTGTAAATGTTTTTATGTGGTTTTTGTGAGAATATGGGAAATCTTATTCACATTGTAGAAATGCAAGGGCTCATCTTATATACAACAGTTGATGTGCACTAAGCTAAGGGAACTCCCTCATATTAAGTTTAGGATCTAATTTACAATTAAATAAATCTCTCCACTTAACTATTCCAACACTCTCTCTCAACTCAACTATTCCAACTCTCTCTCTCTCATGCAAAGATTTTTTTTTTTTTTTTATCCCAAGCTTGTCAAGATGATATGAAAGGTTGTACTAGGCAATAATTTTGTCAGCACGTCCACAAGTTATTTAAAGGATAATGCATAGACTACACAGAGCTCGAGTCTAGTTTCACTTGATTGTTCAGAATTTTTTCAACCAAATAAAAAAAATAAAATCTCTACTCTCTCTTTGACACCTCATTTGTATATGAACTAATATGTAACTCCTTATGTACAAGTAGCATTATTCAATATGAAACATCTTAAAAGAAACGGATGCATGTTTTGTCATTTTATTAATGGAATTAAGGAAACAGAGTAGGAGGCTTCAAATAACAGTTTACTACAGTACATGCTTGTTCATGAAATAATCAATTATGTATACATTGTGAAATAGAATTTTGTCGAGCACATTATGCAGATTGCTGTGTACAGAGTTTAATACTGTAAACCTATTGGATGATTGACTTGACTTGTTCCTCATATAGCTTTGCATAAGTAATCATCAGTAGCAGTAATGATCCTCGTATTAGTGGTTACATTTTCTTGAAACGTTCTTGCAATTTTTACAGGTACCTTCACTCTTTACATGCTCATGTGCACTTTCACCGTGATATTTGTCACAATTTGGGTGCCTGAGACGAAGGGAAAAACTTTGGAAGAAATCCAGTTCTCCTTCAGATGAAACTTTCTTTAAGTCACTTTGCCCCTGGATTTTGTGTCCATTTTTTCTTCTTGTTGTTGGGATGATGGTCCCGTTTATTATTTACCACTTGTTACGCAAAGAAATTTTGAACATTTTATTCAAAGTCAAGTGCTCGAACATTCTCTTGATTATTTATTTGTCTTCCTACTGACTTTTATCAGTACATGAACTGTCTTTTTTACATGTCCTTTAATCCACATCATAGTGTAATGTACAAGAAATGCCTCTTTTTTTCTCTTTGGGATCTGCCGAGAACCAATTAATGAATTAAATTGTCATCAATGAATAATGATGCAATTAAATTGACATATCTTTATGTGTTTTACATTAAAATATAGAATAATACTATCTACCACCTAGAGCACCCATCTATATTATAGGTCCTATCAAACATACTATAATTTCTTATACATAATTGAATTTGTAATTTAATATCACCAGTACGATCGCGTAGGTTTATGTTAAACACTAGTAATGTTAAATAATATTTACTAACCAAGGACATTACCATGGATTCAAGATTAGAAAATGTCGATTTTTCTCTTGTTCATGTTTCAATAATGATGACATGTTTGGTATGACAAGTATGGACTGAATTGATTACATCAGACAAAATTAAGAGGGAAAAAAATACATGAATTGTCAACGTTGTATCGAACATTGTAAATGTACGGAACATCCCTTAAAAGAAATGTTTGGCTCTATATTGTAACATAATTAGACAACATAATGTAAAATTAACTTATATTTCTTCTTGGCTGTGGAAACAAACCATATTGTCACTTTTTTTGACATGCTAGAGCTTGTTTGACAATCATTATTGTAGAAAAAAAGAATCTTGAATAGTGATTTTTAGGAGAATGTGTGGTTAAAAAGTAAGGAAAAGCTTTTATTATACGTGTAAAATATTTTATTGTAAGAATGTGTGATCGAAAATAATCATGTAGCAAATCATGAAATAAATTAATATTTATCAAGCAGGCACTAAATCAAGGCTCAAGACGACTCCTAAAAGGGCAAAAATAAAGAGAGTTGTAATCCTGAAGCTGTCAAAAATCCGGCAGAAACGAGATCGTGAATATTAATGCTACAATAAAACATAAAGGAATGGTGCCCGCTACAATTCAAATGATGACTCCGATGCGAGGGGAAGAGAAGACGATCATAACGAATCTCACACCGAATAACAAATAAAAACTGATCGAGATTGATTACAATAACAGAGCAAGACATGGCAAACTATGGACTTCATGATCTCGTTAAACTACTCTTTAAATTTACCAAGGGCTTATTTGGCAGGATTTCTATTTCCTGTAAAGGAGCTTTCAAAAAACTATCTATTTTGTTCAAAAATAGCTTTTGAATTTTCAACCATTCTACCATACGAGCCCTAAATGTCTTATTTGCCTCACTAGGTTAATCAACAATTGAACTCAGAATTTCCTTTTGATCTATGAATACACACAGAGAATTACGCGAAAAGTAACATTTGTCAGCAGAACAGCCTCCAAGGTTTAAGGAAAGTTTAAAGTGACTTCTATAGGTGTCACGAAGAAAGCAATGCTGAAATGCAGCCTGCTAATCGATCGAAGTCAATCACTATATAAATAGAAAATACTATTATGTGAAGCAAAGCTTATGCACTTGCAGGAGAGTAGTCTTCAAATGTAATTTTTCCTTGTTTAAGATGCATTCTAATAATAAGTCATAGTACTTGGTGGAGACCATCCTAATGTTCAGAGGGTTCGATGAACCAATCCAAAAAGAAAGTTTGCACAGCTCTGAGATGTAAACATTTTCTGCTAACAAGAATTTTAGTACTGGCAGAGGCAATCCTAATGTTCAGTAGTATTTTTTTATCAACTTATCCAACACTTTTAGTAACTTCATGAAAACTTGTTCTCCTCTGATGAAATGTAATCAAAAAGGGTAAATCTCTGAGAATCATGACTTAGATCAAAAATTATTTCCCAGTGAACTTCGTCTGCATCATGAAGTATGAGAACAGGCAATCAAGTAATTCGCCAAATAGAAAATATAGATTCACAACTGAAGGAGAAAAGATAATTCCAAAGTATTTCTTGAATATTCACTTATTTGGGTAATGAGACCAAATAAAGTACCGTATAAACTAAGACTAAAGAGACACGAGACTCGACTACATATGTTCTACCTCAAATGATAGTAAGATCCTTCTATGAGATGCAATTCACAGGATAACTGTCTATGCAATCCTCCCAGGGACCATTACAAGATGGTTTTACGTTCTGAAGTGCCTCCCACACAGCACTATTACACTTGAACCCACTACCGAAAGCAATCTGCCAGACTCGGTGACCCCTCCGCATCCTTCCTTTTGCCTCGGTGTATGCCAATTCATACCAAATGGAGCTCGATGAAGTGTTCCCAAAGCGATGGAGAGTCATCCTTGAAGCCTCCACATGAACCGGTAGCAGCTGCAGGTTCTTCTCCAGCTCATCGATCACAGCCCTTCCTCCAGCATGTATGCAGAAATGATCAAATGCCAAATTAAAATTGGGAATATAAGGCCTCATTTTCATTTTGAACAACGTTCGGAGAATCAACGTGGAAAAGAACAAAAGCTGCTCACTGACCGGTAGCACAAGAGGACCTAGCGTGGTGATATTAGTCTTCAGAGCCCCACCGGCAATAGCCATTAGATCTTTTGACAAAGAAACCCCAATTTTCCTGGCATCATCCTGCTCCTGATACACGCATCGGAACGCCTTATCATCTGCACCTTTATGTGTCCTCACCACATGAACCAGCTTGTATTTCGCCCTCCTCCTATCTGCCGACTTATTAGACAACAAAACCGCCGAGCCTCCAACTCTAAACAAACAATTGGGTATCAACATCGACTTCTTGTTCCCAAAATACCAGTTCTGCGTAATATTCTCAGTACTAACTACAACAGCATAAGTTTTCCTATGCACCTGCAACAAGTCCTTAGCTAAATCAACAGCAATAACTCCTGCACTACAGCCCATCCCTCCCAAATTAAAACTCAGAATATTCCCCCTCAATTTGTACTTGTTCACTATCATGGCCGAGAGTGATGGCGTTGGATTAAACAAACTACAATTCACCACAAGAATTCCTATATCCTTTGGCTTAACATTGGTATTCGCAAACAAATTATCCAACACCCCGAACATCACCTGCTGAGCCTCCTCCCTCGCAGACTGCATTGATGGCTGGGGAGGAATTAAATGCATAGCCTCAGGCACATAAGTATCGTTCCCAAGCCCCGAACGCACAAGAATTTTCCTTTGAAATTCAAGTGAAGACTCGTCAAAATCTCCCGTCAGCCGAGAACGCTCCATGAATAGATGAAACGGCGCTTTCAGATTTTCAGGAGCCCGATAACAAGAATAATCGACCAAATAAACAGGTCTGGGCCGAGTCATAATATACACAGTGGATCCAAATACAAAAAATGCAGAACATATTATGACAGAAACAAGATTGTATTGCAAATGAAGCCACAACTGTCGTATATCATCAGGGTTCTTTTGCGATGCCTCGATTATAATAATTAACATTATGGGCACTAAACAAAGAGTTATCAAATTAGAGACCAAATAATGGTAGCCCAGTTTAACATATTTCAACTTAACACTTTGGAGGAAATCCGGCAGCCTGCGGCAGAGCTGGATCTGTACCCCGACCGTACCACTGTTTTCGGTACTGTTGCCACCGCCGTCCATGGTGGTTTCTTGAGTTCTAGAATCAGTCCTACTCTCAGACTCACAGGTGTTCCAATACAGAAAGTTGTGGAAACTTCAAGAGAAATGGGATTGTCAGAAGAGAAAAAGGAGTAATTGACTTTTCCGAGAGTACGAGATCGAACCCATTGATTGGTGGGATTATTCTAATAAAAATGAAAAATATCATTTTTCACGTAATAAATTATAGAAAAATTTACATCCAACGCATGAATATAGAAATAAAAGAGGGTAGGATTTTCGTAATTGTCCTGGTAAAACTCAAAAGTTGCATAGAGGTTCTTTATTCGTTATTCTTAGGGATAATTGTAATTGAGATCCCAAATCTTTTAAACATTGATAGATTTTTTCTTAATTTTTCAATTGTTGTAGCTATCGCTTCAAACCCTTCAAATCATAACAGTTGAGGTCCCCACGAACGACTTCCACCAATTTAGCATTAGTTGACCAAAAAAAAAATTTTGATCACATTTTAAAAGGATAAAATAGTACTTTAATATTTTTTTCCATAAAATAATTAAAAACTTAAATTAAAAAAAAAAAAAAAACACAAAGAAGAAAATAAATAAAATAGAAAAGGAAAAACTAACTTTATCACCCTTACCCTTACCCTTACCCTTACCCTTACCCTTACGCTCACCCCTACCCCCAATCCCTTAACCTAAAACCAAAATCCGTCGGCTCTTTCGTCATCTGATAATACCTCAACAATGGTGCTAAATTCCAATAGCCCTAGGAGCTTAGCATCAAAATCACTGGATAGCTTATTGAATTTTTTGGCCCCTTTACCGCGTTATATCCCACCACCTCCATCCAAGGAGCTGAGGACATATATGTCATTTTCGCCTTCGTCGTCTGAGGATGGGGCTAGTAATTCCTCACATCAGAGTTTTGAGTATTTGGTCTTCGCCTCCACCACCACCACCAAAGTCACGGGAATCGAAGTCATTAATAGCAGGGCCACCAGAGCTGGTGGCGCCGTCAAGGACGGTAGGGGGGGGGGGGAGGCGGGGAATTGGAAAGCAAAAGCGAGGAAACAATTTTGAAGCCGAAGTTGAAGCCTTTACATTGGGATCAAGGGAGAGCTAGTTTTGATATAATACTATTGAAATCAAGCTTTTTTTTAGTGAAATTCTTAATTTTTACACCTTTATTGTCTACATTTTAGAATGTTCTTGTTCTACATTAAGATTTTTTTGGCATACTCATTCTAAGAAGAAGAAAATATTATTTCTGTTTTCAAAAATGATTATTGATTTCTACGTTTTTCATTTATCGGTGTATTTCTACTTGATTTTAATGCATGGTAGGCGTGTTGGTGGCAACTTTCTAAATTTTGGTGAGGGGGTTGACGAAGAAGAAGATAGGTTTACTTATTTATTTTTTTGATTCAAGCTTTTAATTATTCTATAGGAAAAATATTAAATTACTATTTTGCTCTTTTAAAATTGATTAAAAAATGGTCAAAATTATTTTTTTGGTCAACTAACATCTAATTGGATGGAAACCGTTCGTTGGGGCCTCAACTGTTACGATTTGAAAGGTTTGGGTTGACGGGCAACAATTAAAAGATTAGGGGAAAATTTGTCATTGTTTAAAAGGTTTGAGACCTCAATTGCAATCATCCCTTATTCTTATTACAGAGCAAAATATTTTTGATGGATTAAAATATTTGTGATTGAAAACAATCCATCAAAAATATTTTGATACTCTTGAAATGTGATCAAAGCAATTAAGTCAATTTTAGTCTCAAGAAATACATTTTGATTTTTCTATCGACGCTTGGAAACACTCCAAGTTGCCTACATATCCCGTAAAGAAAATCAAGTCATGACTCATAACATAGTTCATTTTAACTTGGTTCGATTACAATATTCGTTAAGTATGAGTCGGGCATGACCCTTATTCTACCTAGTAAAAAGAACTCCGAATTAGTATGTATAAATTAATGGTAGCCAATAGGTCCTACTTATTTAATACCCATAATTCAATATTGACAATGAGTAATAAGCACTTGATATTTTGAGAGTATAGAAATTTTTTTGAAATATTTGACTTTGACCTGTTTAATCTCTATCATCATAGCAGTAATTCAATTCTCAAAAAATTAAAAATACAGCAGGTTCCTTATTAATTGAACATGATTTTTTTTCTTTATTTTATTTTTGAATTTGCATTAAGAAGCCTCAATTTAAATGTTAAGCAACAGAAAAGAGTAGTGCTATTTGCAATTGCTCACTGCTATAGTCACCTTACGTGACATATATGTAACAATTAGTGTTTGATGCATAACATTAATGTATCAAATCACTAACCACCACATTTATGTCACATAGGATAACTACGGTAGTAAACGACTGCAAAGATCATTATTAATCCCTTTATTCAAGGGACTTAAAACAATACATTCCTAATATCTCTTTTCTTTATTAACTTCAAATTTATTAACATAATTGAATATTTCTATGAATCTAGTATTTCTCCAATTAATACAGATTTTCTACAAATATAATGTAATTCGTTAGTTAATATGTGGATAATATTTGTCTAATTAAATAAAAATTTTAAATTGAAAATGGCAAAGGAATTGAAATATTGGTACACGATATTAGAAATACTAGTAAAATAAAACATGATAAAATATGTGAAATTTTAAGTTATAGTACATTGTAGAATAATGTTATTTTTAGTTGTTTATTGTCACAGACGCCCTACGTGACATATATGTGATGATTGCTTTAAGTATCAAATCACTAAGCGTTTCCTGTATGTCACATAAGACGATTGTGATCGTGAGCTATTGTAAATAACATTACTCTATATTAAAACTTTTAAATTTATTACACATTTGTTCCTTGTTCACTAATTCAAAAAAATGTATTTTAACTACAATTCCTATAGGAGAATTGCCTAATTATTATTAGAAACGTCAAATTTACCAATTAATTAGAATAATTAATATACATAATTTTACCCAAAAAAAAAAATCAATAATTAATTCCATCAATTTAAATAACTATATTTATCGTCAGGGAATTAGGTCCTAATTATTATTAGAATAGAGGTATTTATTAGAATAACTTAATTAATGCATAATCGATAATTATTTCCATCAACTATAAAAAAATAATTATAATTGGAGAATCAAGCCTATATTAGAGGATCTACCAATTAGAATAGCTTAATAAATAGACAGATAATTTTTTTTTTTTTTTAATACAATTACAACAACTAAGCAACATCATATATATATTTTTAAATATATATTAACTATGTAATCTGCTACAACTTGACCACACCAACTTATCCTGATCTTAGTAAATTTGCAGGAAATATAAAGCTGTAATAAGGAAAGGTAAAGCAGAAAAGTAAAAATATAAGTAATAAGGTATGTAATTTGTGTTTGCTTTCTGGATTTATTTCTTTTGTAGCTTTACAGTGCTCAAAGGAAATCGATTTGAACCCATAGTGCTTTGCTTCGAGTATTTGTTTCACTGAAGCTTCAGATACTTCAGCCTGGCAAGGAAAAAAAATTGAAAAAATTCAGTGTTAGAAACTAATTAATTGCTTCAAAGAGTATGTATTTGTATGTCATTTCCCACCTTTTTTCCTCAGCCATGATTTTGTTTCCTTTGCTAGTGTCTCCAGTTGAAGAGTAATTGGGCAAAGGAATTTGTCCAGACTCAATGTGGTTGATATCTTCAACAAGCTTCTCATAGTGGAGCTTCACATCCTCCGCCGTCTTGCCGCCACCCACAGCGTTGGCCATTTTCTGCCACCTGTCTGGGCTGTCCTTGTCGTAGGTTGCCAGTGCATTCTCAAACAGCTTGTTTTGCTTGGCCGTCCATGTCGAGTTCGACGCCATTTCAGTCAGTAGAAATGAATCTTTTGCAATGATCAGTGTGCTGTGGTTGGCTGCTGGCTGCTCTATATATAGCATTTTGAGAAAAGAAAAGGGTGGAGAAAGTGAGATGGCATTGGGTGGCGGTGCACGGGGAGTCGCTTTTCACGTGGTAGGGCACTTGTAAATAAGGGGATTTGCTAAAAAGAATGGGATTTGTTTTTCATGTTTTTCAACGTGTTTCAAAGTGTGAAATGTTCCATGATTGCAGAATCAATGCTTAGGTTTGGTTAAAAGTGAAATGTTATTCTAGTTTAATAAGCAAGATTGTCGTGTTTAATACTGTGTACCAAACATGCTAATCGTGAGTCGTAAAGTACGATACTTGTGTGGTACAATGGGTCCAGAGTGAATTAAAATGGCAAAATCTTGCAAATTTTTGCGAACATAATGTGGCCCTCATCAAATTTTCAGAATTTTTACAGAGTGATTGTGTGCATGGGAATCAAAAAGCACCTTTCATGCCATGGAGTTTTCTATCCTTAGAGCCAACTTAAACGGAATAGAATGCACTTTTTGCATTTGTGTTTTCTGTGTGCTGAACAAGGATCCAAATCATTTTAGCTGGATAGGTAAGTCCGTACTGCGGATGTACATGCTCTTTAGCAATTATAGATGTGTCTCTCATGTCTCTTTTGGTAACTTTGCATGCAGCTAATTCTGCTATTACATTCTCTTATATTGATCCTTTTTTAGTCTGATTTGCTGTATAGTTTTATATCATTTTGACTTGAAAAACTTATTCTTGTTTTAACAAGATTGAATGCAATCATAGGCTCGTAGCATATCAAGTGGACTACTCTCTACATTTTAATATGGAAATCTAAGACACGGTATCTGAAGTTGAAACAAATGTTTAGATTTCAAAATTGATGTTTGAACGAATCACTATCTTATTGGAGCAAGTTTAGGGAATAAAATCAATATTGATCTTTTAAGATCAATATGAAAATGATAAATGCTTTGGACTAGTACTCTTAGCAATATTGATCTTTTAAGATGGAAATCCAAAACTCTAACAAAAATAGATATTTGTAATTGATTTCGTTAATTTTTTTGCACCACTTGATTTGAATCATTCCTATTTCTTCAAGAAAATCTAACTTAATTTAAACTAAATACTTCTAAAAGAAAATCGAACATAAAGTAACTAGATTGTTAGCCACTAACACATCTCAGGTTAAAAGTATTCGTCTATCCATCCATTGTCTTACTTCCTTCACCCGAAATCACGTCACTCAAAATAAGTTGATTTTAGCCTTTTTAAGTTTATGCAAAACTTGTGCAGATCCCTCTTCTAACATTTTATCCCTCTTTGCCCCTTTGGAACACAATATGACTGCTGCTAAAGCAAAATTGATATTTTTCCCCATAATTTTCCATAAAAATATTGAATTTATTCGAAATTTACCTGCTAAGAAAGTCCTCGGTTATATTAAACACTATTTTTTCATGCAGAGTTTTCTTTAAAGCTTGTCACATTACTGTGATAAAATATTCAAAAGTCTGTGCAAGTTTTCTGAAACAATAGAAAATAAAGCCTAATTATACAATGTTTTCTTTGTACCTATCACATTATATTTGTGGACCCTGCATTGCAAATGCTTTTTCGAATTAATCATAGCATTTTCATCATCAATCTTTAAATTCACCAAGAAAAAAGTTAAAAAAATGCATGAAAGCTTGTGATTTTTAAGTGTGTTTTGGGATAATTTAGCCTTACATCTTAATGTCTACTACTAAAACTATATAGTATTGTCCAGGGACTTCTCTCAGAACAGAAATTCTCTCTTATAACAAGCTTAAAATACCATTCTTTGGAGAAATTGATTCGTTAGGATGCTTACAAAATCAACTATATACAATCGTTGATTTATACATTACTAATTAAGCTGAAATGATTCCATTGAGCTGCTGGATCAATCCAGATATGTTTGGAATCCTTATCATCCACGTCGGATTCCAGTAAAAATTCATCTTCATGGATGTCTGCCCTTTCTCTGTCATGAGCTTTAAGACCACCGTTCTGTATATTTATATTCTCCATGAACCAAATTGCAAATTGAAGATGGGAACTTGTCGAAAGAGATTGCTTGGATGGATTCTCAATTCAGTCTAGCTGGGACTTTTGGGGCAAACTACGTTTTTCTCTCAAGATAGGAATATGCAAAGTTGGTTCAAGAATACAATCAAATCCTGTGTGGGTCGGTTTTTGGATCGAACTCACTCCAATGAGTTAAAAAATGGAGAACTTGAGGATGCATAATAATTACAAACCAAGAACTACAAGATGATATTAACCAAGAACTATATATACTAGAAGAGCCTAGCATTTCTTATCACACTAATTTTTCGGGTTTGTATGGCAAAACGGTCTGTGTACTAATAGTTTAAGACGGAAAAGAAGTTGAAATATTTTGACTTAATGTAGAATCCTATACGATGTATCAAATATGTTCTAACTTCCAAATTGATTTGCAATCTTTCTATACCTTGAAAAATTAGTTTAACGTGAAAATAGCTTCCACAATTTTGTTGGCGACTTTCTGAAAGAAGATACTTCTAAGATACATCAAGCTACTGATACAGTGATTCCTTATTATTCTTGGTCACATGTGGTTTGAAAAGATTTCAGAGAACACTCCCTCACAGGTCCCTTCTTGCAAGTTGAAGTTGGCAGTTTCAACTTTTGAAAGTCCAAATCTATTTCTGTTGTCTTTGCTGGCATGATTTGTACCACTTAGTTTAAATTTTATATAGAGAATATATATGCTCCAGAAAAAGTTGGATATGAAGATTCATCAATTGTATAGTTCTTGTATTTGATGTTATCTTCCAGGTAACTAACACAGGCCTGTTTGGACGTTATCTACCAGGAAGAGAAAAGAAAATTTTATTTATTATTGTATCTATATTTGTCGAGTACCACATATCAAACACGCACTAAGAGGTTTATATATAAATGGAAAAAAACCAAAGTCTTGTTCTCAACAACTTGAAAACTCTTACGTGAATTTTAGGCCACATCATTCTGTAAATTGACTTTAAAGACAATAATTTTTTGGTCTATCCTCTTCTAACCTGTTCCATCAACATTATGTCACTCTTATGATCAAGAACCTCTACCCTTTAAATGAATCATATAAAAGGTGAATTTTTAAAAGGGGAAATATTTGAAGATAACATATTGAACAAAGGGATAAATTCTTTATGCATCTTACTTTGGTTTGACTGAATTGTAGTTATCCAGTCTTTTGGAAATCACACCTCATAATAATGTGAAGAAGGGATTGGTGACATTGATGGTGATCAATAGATGCATGCAGAATTTTCCAGGCTGGAAGGAGCAATAAAAGTAAATCCAAGCTCCCTAGATCCCTGAACTTTGTTCAGAATATACAATAAAAAATTATTCTTCTATCTTTATATATTGTACATCTTGTAAAGTCATTTTCTTCAAAACAGGTGCTAAAAAGATTATTTCTGGTACTGCTACTCTGGCTTTTATTTGATAGAGAAAAGGGCAATCAGTTCTTCTTCAGGTGTGCTATATTTATGACAACTCTATACTTAGAAGTTAAAGTCGGAAATTTTGATCCTGTAAATCAGCAACAAAGACATTTCGAAACACTATTTCAAGAAGTACATACTCAAACCATAATATGTTATTTCGCAATGGCGTATTTTACACGTCGAATGGACAACATAAACTTCCATACCAAGGATAGCATGGTTAATGATATCATTCCAAGAATTACTTACATGGCCTTGACCATCGACTATAGATTAGTTGCATTCAGGCCTTCTGGAAAGAGACGCTAAATCAAGTTCAACTTTAGGTGAAGAAACCCTCAATTTCAATTGGTTATTTTTCATGAAAAGCAAACGAGATAATAAATAAATTTAGTGTTTCACTAAGATTTTAATATGGTCCTAAGTTCAAGTTCATTCTGTTTACCTCTTCATCAAATGAAAACAATCAAACAATTTCCAATCAACACTAATTATAGTTTCTTTTGTCTTTCTTAATAGTGTAACATAAACTTTACAAAAATTGCTATAATTGTAATCTACTAGCTGATGAAATTTTTTCACATAGAACCCTTATCGTGTCTCAATAGTTTCTTTAGGATTCTCTACAATCATTGTTGTCATAGTAAAAAAAAGGTTTGCTTTGTTAAGGAGATTCAGTCCTTAGAGGAAGATACGAGCCACACATGCTCTAATTGTTGGATGTAGAAGGATAGAGATTGGAGAAATATGAGATTTTACTGATGAAATTTCGGGATTACAAATGAGTTGCTACAACACACTCTTTCTCTCTATTTTTTGAGAGGTTTTTTCTCACTTCTTCTACATATATGACACTAGTTGGATGCCTTCCTATTTATAGAAAACATTGAGTAAACTAGTCCTAAGAATTTTTTACAATTACAACCAGATAAAGGCTATTTTTTTTTCTCCATTTGCAGCTGGAAAACATGTTTTTACAGCTGTGTTTTAACCATCAAAAGTGTGAATGGCTACTGACTTAAGTTAATTTCCAGCTTGCATAGTTTGAACACTTGAATGTGAATTGGCTGCTGCTTTAATTTTCAGATTCCAGCTGTTTTGTGAACATCAGATTGCTGTCCATGTTAATTTCTAGATTCCAACTTGCTTGTTGAGTATACAACTTGAATTAGGAATCTTATCCTTTGACCATTCAATGAATGAAGCCTTTATAGGTTGAGTGTTCAATTTGAATTTGAATTCTTTGAAGTCTTGAAGATTACAAATTATTCTAGAACTTTTAACACCCTCTCTTAATTTGTAATCTTCAAATGCTTCTTGAATTTCTCGAACTTATCAATTGTCGTTGGCTTTGTCATCATTCGGCCGGTTGATCATTGGTATTTATAAAATCCATGCATATTTCTTCTTGATTTACCAAATCTCTTATAAAGTGATGTCGAAGCTCAATATGTTTTGAACTGGCATGAAAGACTGGATTTTTTGTCATCACAATTGTCGACATATTGTCGCAATAAATTGTTGTTGGTCCTTCCTGCTCAAATTTCAAATCTTTTAAAATTCT